AACTGTTGCCATGAATGGGTGAACCTGGTCTGCAACTATGTTCAAGTAGCTTACAGACGTCAGGTATTGTTCTATGAGGATTATGGGTCCTAATGTGCCCCATGAAAACATTGTTCCTGGGCGAGAAACCATGAAAACCTGGGCGAGCCCATTGTTATAGATGGAGGGAGGTCATAATGTAATGTCTCTTCGGTGTATATATATATATATTTTTAGGTCTATTAAGACTGTCATACCTGGTACTGTGCAGGATCAACAGAATATATGCATACGTTCATTAAGGATTGTCTTTGGTTTGGTATCTTAAACTGAAAATAGTTAATGCAAAATTTTATTACTCATGTAAAATTAATAATACACATAATAATAAATGTATCTGTAAAAACAATAGAAAAATCAGATTTTTTGATAATTTAAACATCAACTATTTCTAGTCCTAATATCTTCATAAATTAATTGCATAGAAATAAAACATATTTAGAAGAAGTAAATAAAGCAATATGAGCATTGGAAACATTTCAAAGGATGCTGCTTTTTTTAGTCAGGGTATAGTGATGGCGGGACTAATCCTTATGATTTAGATTAGCTCTAAACTAGGTTGATGCAAAAGTTCCATTAACGGAGTCAACTATTGATGTTTTTTTGTTATTGTGTTAGTTTCATTGAATTTGTGTTAGGGTAAACAATACAATTAAATATAGCTTTCAAAGCAGCTGGACGAAAGGCTTCTATGAGTAATTGTATTACTGAACAAAAATCAAATTTTAGGTTTTCTCGTAGACTTAATATCTTCGTACTTTTTTTATTTATTTATTTTTGTTCATTTCTCTTTTGAATTTGTTGTTTGATATAAACATACCCTTACAACGAACATTTATTTTTGCGTTGAGAAAGTTGTATAGTAAATATTTTGACCTTGACCTATCCTTCGATATTTGGTGATTTTGCAAATTACTTTTTTCCAGTGAATGTAATCTAAGCAAAAAAAGTTTAAAATTAATTTAATTTTAAAATAACTTTCATCAAAACTTGAGAACATGATCATCGGTTTATGGCTTATCTGACATCCTATAAATCATTAAAGTGGAGGACAAAATTCCTTCAGTTCTAATAAAATATTAATACATTACCTTTACTAACACAATAAAAATATTCGAAAGCTACCGAGAGTAGTATTTGAAATGTCTTGAGTTTGACGCATGATGGTGGTATTTTGCACTCATGGAATTACGGAAAGGAATACTTGGAAGGTATACCTTGTGTTAGATGTAAGCTGGTTGAATTTTGCTCTTTTGAAACTGTGGAAAAGAGCAGTTGCAAAGTATGCTTTGAGTCTGACGAAAGCTTGTTGCATTTCGCCTTGGTGACATTGAAGTCTACATGCAATTCCTTCGTGTTAGGTTTAATACCTTATTTTCATATTTTATTTTTTTCGTTTCTTAATATTTTTATTCTTGAAATGTCTTGGGATTGATATTAGAGCAAAATTACGTGCATGTTTAACAGTTATTTATAAATTAATATATAAAAAAGTATAATTACTTACGAATGGTTGAAAAAATATAGCTGATGATACGGTAAAGTAACCAACTAAGAAAAAAATTAACGCCATCTAAAAGAAATATTTGAAAATATTAGGCATAGATTATATTTTACGTAATATGTAATCAATCAGTGTGAAGTGGGCAAAAAATTTTTTTTAAAAAAATACTCGGAATGACTTTTGTTCAAATGATTGGATTTTCAAGGAAATTGTGAGTATACTGATTCAAAGGGGTGACTTCAAATATGCTAATTAATTAAGTTTATCAGTTACATTTCAAAATCAAACACACTGAAACGCAGTTTCTCTGAATAAACTAACCTTTTTTTGGCGAAGGATTAGGATTTTTGATTCGTAAAATATAGGTGAGGAGTTGGTAGATTCAATCTGGAAAACATAATCCTGATAGTTTGGTCAAGAGAGCAATCGAATGTTTGGGTCCCTTAAAGTTAATTTCACTTTTTTTGTATTTCGCCATCTGTCCAGAAATTTGTAAGCAGTTCGAAACATTTTTACACATACTTATAAATTTATATTTGCAAATGTAATCCCATGTAAGAATAATTTTAAAAGGTTTATTGCTAATTTTTATTGTTTTATTTTTATTTATTACACATAATTTTTATTGTATTAACACACTTTTATTTAAAAAGGGTCGAAAAAAATTTATTATAAGGTCAGCCAGTTTTTGCAGTATTATTTAAAATTATGTAATCTTAAATGACAAAACATAATATGGTTCGATATTTGCTGAATAGTTCGTCAGAAAGAGGAACGATTTGACCGATTTTGTTCAAGTTTTGCATTTTGTTATTTAAAATTATAGAGCCTAAAATGATGTAAGTCTTTGTATTCGTTACAATTCAATATTTTTTCAATTTATTTCAGTTACTTCATTACTAAATAAAATTAATTTATTATCATAATTTATATCACCCTTTTGAATCTTTAAAATTGACCCTTACTTTGTAAAAATCCATTAATTATGAGAGAATTTTTTTTATTCAATTTTTATTTTGTACACTTTCTAATATTTGCTTATTTTGCTTGCAAAATGCTTTAAAATATTATAAAACAGTGTAACATCTCTGACACAGTTCAACCTTTAAGTTACATTGCCCTCCGGCTTGTACAATCACTGGTAAGTGGAATCAGTCGCTTGCTTTCATCAAATTTCCAAGAACGTAATCATTTATATGTTGTAACATTAAAATTTCCTCGATCAACAGATTCATAGCCCCCAGATATCGGAATCAAAACTACTTGGTTATCAGAATTTACTGAAAATGTGATAGAGCATCTGTGATGAAGGGACACAAATGTCTAAGTCTATGTTTGTATTTTAAGATATATTTTTACAGGTGTCAATATTTATAAATACCTTTTTAAATCCATTTTATAGACGGATTCTTTTTTTATTACTCTTAATTCGATGTGAGGTACGGAATTTCTCAGAATGATGAAGGGACAAGTGCGAGCTTATGTTAAAAAGGGACATTTCTTCAAGCGATAATAAGAAATAATTAACTTGATCAGTTCTCTGGTAAACAGTTTTCTGGCTCATTTTTATCAGCATTTATAAGACAATAATGAAAATCACATTAATGTGAGTGTTTCAAAAGCTATTAACATAAATTTAAAGTAAAACAGTAATAGCATTTGATTAAAATTTTTTAACAACAACTTATCTTAATAGATGTACATAATTTTGCTTTAGTAAATTGCAATTGTGATTTAACCCTTTGATGGTTATGAACGAGTTCGGCTCGCAATCGAATCCATACTTCATAATGTCCGCAAACAAGTTCCGCTCGAGAGCAAGATTTCGACAGTAATGGTTAGTAACGAGCACTACTCGCGTAGTGAAATTTTTCCCCAATGCGCGCTGACGAGCTGAGCTCGTTCGCCATTGTTATTTTGCATTGATTGTGTTAAAAACGAATCCTACTCGCAAAACGTAGTTAGTTTTACTGCCTACAGATGGCAGTACGGGTTCCATGAATTTCTTTTCACAATGAAGGGGGAATTTATTTTTTTACCTCGTTCTTTTTATGCGCATTTTGGCGCGTTTCTTCGGATGTTGTAAAGTAAAATGGCTGAAAAGCGAAAGTTAGATAATTATGATGATGGTTATGATTGTGATATAGAAAGCTTATCAAGTTTTGAGTCTGATGAAGACTTTGTTCAGAGTATTTAGGTAATTACTGTATTTAAATGCTTCATAAAGTTTTGCATTAGTTGTATTTATTTAGTCCTTTTAATTTAATATTTGTCTTATATTTAAAATTAACTATTATTTATCTAATTGATTATAATAATTTATAATTTATTATTAATAATTATCATTTATTAATTATTTTAAAGTACTTAAAAACTGCTATTTATGTACTACAAATGCTTTAAGAAATTTTTAAAACGCGTGAGGCGAATTATGTACGGCATCGTCAGAGAAGGGTAGCATTTTCGGAAGAACGGCAGGGGAAAACAGCTGCCTCTTTCGACTACTGTTTGCTCGTAATACAGCGCGAATTAATGAAGCGAAAACTGCTCATATCCCTAACCTCTAACTTGCGTTGCTGCTTCCTACGACATTCGGATAAGTCAAGCTCAATTAACGAATTAAGACATGAAGGTGCACCTCTGGTTTGACAAGAGAGCACAGTAGGGGTGAAAATATGTCTTAACTCAAAACTTCCTGGATAGATGGCAGCACCATTCATTCTTGAAGCCATTTTCGCAATTAGGACAAATGTTGAAAATTTAAGGCATAGATCCGAAGGGGAAGGAAATTTTCTCCTGATATCTGTACCTTTGAGCTCTGCCACCAATCAGAGGATTTTTGAATCCACAGATTTTACGTGCATGCATGTCGCATGTACTCGGCGAGTAGAAGTGGAGTTACGAATTGAACCCATGTCCCTCTGGACGGGAAACCGATTCTCTAATCACTTGGCTACCAAGGCCCCTTATAAATGCCCTACTCACTAAGTTAAAGCACTATGATTTTTTTCTTCATTTCATGTTCTTACACAATAAAAAAATATTGTCTTATCTAGGTAAATAAAATATGAACCTTATGCAATTTAATGAAATTACAAAAATTTTTGGAAAGCTGCTTGAACTAATTATCAATATACAGTTATTTTATGAGGAAAACGTTAAAATTGAAAAAAAAATAACCAGAAGCTATTTTTATACAAATATAACAGTCGATTATTTTATTATAAAGGACTAAACTGTTTTTAATCATGATTATTTTTCATACTGTATTTTTCTCATTCTAGCTCTAACATTTCTAAAAAAAAATCTTTTATATTACTAAACATTTTATATGTATTTTTTTAAGTAACTCATCTTTGAATAATAATTCATCAAATACATATGAAACGTGTGTTTTCTACTAAAAGTAAATAAGGTAAGCTAGTGTTAATAAAATTTTAAAAAAAGTGTGATTTATAAACTTAGGTTTTATATCACTTATGCATTTTATATGTTTCTAAAATAAAATAAAGTTTCTGTACACATGCAGTACTATTTTATGGCTTTCAGTGCTAAGAAATCATGCGTATTTTAAAATTTTATGTCTATTTTTCATCTTTTTTTTATTTACATAAGGTTAAAAATAAATGAAATAGAAATTGATATATGGATAGAGAATATTTTCTTTAAATATTTTACAACATTTTTCATAAGAAATCTTTTAAAGACAATTTTCTCTCATCAGCTATCTAGAAAGTTGAGTTTTCTATTTGAAAAATAAATTTTGTTAAGAATGCGTGCACGTGTCATTTTGAAAAGAATGTTAGATACCACGTAAAGTCGTACTTCAAAATGATTTTACATCACGTAAGGTCATACTTTATAAATTATTTATAGCCACGTAAGTTCAAAATCTTCATAACTTTGCAGTATTGCTTTTTTTCAAAGCCAAACGTCAAGATTCCCAGAGAGGCTTGGATTTCATGAGAAAAGGATCAATGCAAAACTTTTTGAACTTCTTTATCTTATATAAAATTTTGTTTACAAGGAAAAAATTCTGAAGAAATTAGCGTACTGTACGGTAACAACGTTTCTAGTGAAATAAAAAAAATGAATTAAAAGAACATAATTTTGGTTGAAAATACCAAAATATACTGTATTTAAGCCCTTCATTTGTTAATTTTTCGGTTCATATGGTAACATATGGTTACCATATGAATATTACCATGTGGTTCATATGGTTACCGGAAATTCTGGTTTTCACAATTTTAGTTCTTATTGCCACAGATATAGTAAACAATAAAAAAGGGAAAAGTAAAAACCGAACAAATGGTTTTTATGCTATGATCTAAGGTATAAAATTACCAAATTTTATTACTCTTACCAAATTTTATTACATATTATAAAGCCATATTTAATTGTGAACTTTATCAAAAATCGTTACCAAAATCATCGCTTCGGTAAAAATTGCCGAGCTTTTTGATGTTTTCAAGGACTCAGAAACACGACAAATTTTACCATATTCTGGTAGTTTTAATAATATTTTTTTATCAGTGAGGAATTACAAATTTTCTTACATGAATTTCACTTGAGCATTAAAAAATTAAAAAAAAAATTTAGTGAATCAATTCTAAAAATATTTGTATTTTAATTATCTTAACTTCATTTTGACGACTGATGCACATCACAATAGTCATAAAAGTAATGCTCATAACCTCGATGCAGCAATGGATAGTCAAATATGTTCTTATTAAAACCATACTAGCATAAATTAATTAAACTGTAAAAAGTATTTTTTTAAATTAAAAGAAGAAATTAATATTTCCAATTTTTTTTAAATAATTATTTGTTGAAAAAAAACATTAATTTTTTACTCATTACTCATTCAAATTTCTAAGCTGTAATCTAAGCAGCATGCTATACTCAAACCTGTTACGAAATTTTATATAAATAGGTTTATTATGAGTCGAATAATCTTGCGCAAGATTGGAAAAAAATTTAATTGAGAAAAAAGCAGACTAAAAGTCAAACAAGTAACTTTTGTACAGATTACTTAAAAAAAATACTTGAGTCTGCAAACAATTTTTGTT